GATTATCAGATCAGCCATGATCTCATTGACTAGCAAAATAGACATTTTCAAAATCTACTCAATTACTTGTCAACTTCTCTCAGCAGATAAGACATTCAGGTTTGAGGTAAAAAGAATTTTCCAAAAAAAATTCACTCTGAAAATCGATGCTAACATGAAAACATGTCCAGACAGGCAAGAATGTTCAAAAGTCATTCAATAATTGCATGCCTCTTTACTGCACGTGCAAAATTTCTTCTCATTCCGGAGATATGATCTCCAATCATTACACGTGGTCAAACTGAATATTTGGACTTGCACCTGAGCAGACAAACTGCACAGCAAGCAGATTTCCCAGCTGCGGTACTGAACATCAGTGCATATGTAGTTTTGGACTTTGCAAGAATTTTGTGCCACACTTGTCTCCTTGCTGCAGCACACTGGTTGAACGCCTCGGTTTTAGAGCACACTTTAACCTGGGGATAATAATCATAAGAAATTCACTGACCTCTCACAAGTGATCAAGGTCAGCTAGCATATCTTCAAATGCTATATCCTACTTGTGTCACGAGTCTCATACACAGCTCCATTCACTTCACCATCATAGGTCACCTGTCAACAATCTCGATCAACTGAACCACGTTCATATGTTCTAGCATACCCTCACACACTTTAGATTAATGTGAGCATTAGAAGCATATCTCACAGCTTGCACATAATGTCACCAAAACATACTGAACCACAGATAATGGACTGAATTTTAAGCAGAGTAAAAATCAGATGCAAGCTACCTGTATTATTGCTGACAGGTCTGCATGCTCTCCAAAGAAGAGGGGCCACAGATTACCACAAGGGCTAGGCAGTGTTCAATGACAATAGGAGGAGGTGGGGGTAAAGAATATCTGGTAGCTTTCCACACCATTAATTGGTCACTTAAGGACCTCAATTAGCCCAGGAACGAGGAGGCCTCCTGCCATCTCTTCTGCCATTGAGTCCTTGTGGGTTGAAAGTGTAGTGATTCTATCGAGGTCAGCCAGGTTGACATCATAGAATATAAGTTCTCTGATTGGGGCTGTTAATCAATTCTAATCAGGGAGCCCTGGCTGACAGATATAAACGGAAGTGTCAGAGGTTCTGTTCATTCGGAGAGCTGGCTGACAGGGAGTTGGATCAGTGTCAAGGGCGGCACAGTGGCTCAGTGGTTAGCACTGATGCCTCGCAGAGCTAGGAACTTGGGTTTGATTCCACCCCTCGGGCAACTGTCTGTGTGGAGTTTGCACATTCTCCCTCTGCATGGGTTTCCACCGGGTGCTCCGGTTTCGTCCCACAGGCCAAAGATGTGCAGGCTAGGTGGACTGGCCATGCTAAATTGCTCATAGTGTTCAGGGATGTGTAGATTAGGTGGGTTATTGGAGGGGGGGGGGGAATGGGTCTGGGTGGGATGCTATGAGGGTCAGTCTGGACTTGTTGGGCTGAAGGGCCTGTGTCCACACTGTAGGGATTCTATGACTGTCCACGTGTAAATAAAAGGGTGATTTGGTGACGGGATACTAGCCTCTGTAGAGTTATTCAGAGATGATGATGTGAATGGTGTTGGAGCCACAGAAATCCTCCTGGATAAGGTTCAGCCATCATGACTATGATACCAATATTGGAAGGGGTTCATAAGGCACCACAGTAGCCCAGCAATCTGAGCTCTGATAGATTCTTAGGTTTGCTGAGGTGTCAGCCCTTAGGATTTTTAAAGAGACTCCATGAAGCACAAAACTACTGCACCTCTCTCAGTTTAACATCATTAATGCTGCATTGACACGCTACCAGCGACCGTACCGCTAAGGCAGTGCAATCAGGAGCCAAACATAGATATTTATTTCCAAGTGTTGCTCCAGAGATTTTCTTGAGGTTTTTTTTTTGTTTTCCAGGTGTTCCTTTGTTCATTCCTCCTTTATTTGGTGATGCAATCATATAGCAACTTGCCTTCTGTTGATGCGTGTGGGAGTTGGACTTACTTAAAGTCAAATTTAGAAATACATTAATATCCTCAATAAGTGTCACAGCTCCACTGAATTTAAAACCACAACAAGGAAGGCATTCACTTCCAAGGCACCACAGTATTCAAAAGTAACAAGGTCAGAGTCACACGACACCAGGTTATAGTCCAACAGGTTTATTTGAAATCACAACCTTTCAGAGCACTGCTCCTTCATCAAGTGACTTTCAGCTGATGAACAGGTCAGCTGTGTAAACCCAAGAAAGGGCATTAGCTGGAACATTGAGCTCAGAAATGGTAAGGCAGAAGACAAATCAGTTTAATGCATAGATTCATGTAATGATCTGCCTACTCTGCATGTTTTTGATGAATACATACTGTGGGCACGTTAATACCCTCCCCAAAAAGGTTGATTTAGAATTGCTGACAACATTTGCCATTTAAGGGCACTTGTCCCACCCAAAAGGCAGGTGTTAACGGATGTACATTTTGCACTCTATCATTTTAAATACAAAATGCAGTTCTCCAAATATTGTATGGGTTGGATTCAGCAGGTCACAAGTTATTCCCTGCCTGCACATTACTCCAGCTGCACAGGGAGCATGTACGAATTATTAAAATCAGTTGACCTTGCAGGATTCAGAAAGGTCATCTCCCCATTTCAATTGTATTAGTGCATTTGTATGCAGAGCAATCCCTAAGCCACTTTCCCCAGGATTGCGGAATCATTCCCTTCAGTCCTAACCCAGCATTTAGAGCAGCATTACTGATTCCAAATTCAAAGATATGCTGTCTGATGAAGCACTTCAAATAAAAACAAAAAATGCCCAGGCTTATCAGAAATAAGTGCAATTCTGTCCTTAATTTTTAGCAGATCACTAACAACTACATTTTTAGATTTCTTTAAAGAAAATTGGGACATAAGAAAAGAATTAACTGAACAATCTTCAATTAAAACCCACTGTTCAGGTTTTTGATGGCTTTGTTTCTCAACGTTTTCTAACAATAAACAAAATCACCACAGGTATGAAGGGGAAACAGTAAACAATACACAACCAACAATATACAAACAAGGTTACATTTATGCAATTGTAGTACACAGACAATGAATACTTATTTTTATATTATGAAATACAATCTAAGTGCATGATGAATCAGTATTACATTGCAGTAAACTGGTCTGGAACTGGCATTTGCTACCAACACTGTTTTTATTCAATTGGAGATGTGAACGTAACTGACTAGTCCAGCAGCTGTTGCCCATCCCTAATTGCCCTTGGAGGATGGTGTTGAGTCACATTCCTGAACCATTGCTGTTTATCTGGTGTATCCTTCAATACTTTTGAACTGTGACCTCCTGCTTTTATTTTTAAAAGAGAGAGTGGGTACTTGCAAATCTTTCTCACTTCACTTCAGTTTGTAACACTTCAGTCTTGACTGTAGTTGGAACCCGAGTTTTAAACTTAGCGAGATGATCAGGAATGATTTTAAGAAGAGAACTCTTCCAAACTGTCACTATGCTATCACCTTTACAGCCCTTAATGCCACTAACTAGCTGTCACCATAGAATATTGATAGTCACTTGCTACCACCCTAATGGAGTTTCTTGGATCAAACTCCATTGCCCAAGTGCTGCTCTACTAGTCAATGCACATAATGTGCATCACAAAGATTAAGTTCCTGTTGAGACGCATCTCGAAGTGTATTAATACTATTTACATTGCTATAATATCACAGTCTTATACATAGTTGGGTCCCATGCTTACTTATGTTATTGTACCTAGTTGTCTGTTTGATCAATACTACACTGACTCCATTGAATACAGAGTGAGTACAAGTGAGCCCATCATCTTCACATGTGATGTTACATGACTGTCTTCAAGATATATTGCCTGTCTGGTTAACAATCTCTGTAATAACCCAAAATCCTTGTCCTCACTTTTCCACCCCATCAGCCTCCAGAATCAAAGGGCCATCCTTCACTATTTCCTCCAAACACATTTTCCCTTCCTTGTCCCATCTGCATTCTGTAGAGATCACTCTCACCATGACATTCTGGTTCTTACCTCTACCACCAGTAATACTCCATTTCTCAAACCCCAGAGCACATTATGCAATGACAAAAAGTGAAACATTTACCCCTTCACTTCTTCTCTCCTCACTGCTCAACATCCCTAACACTCCTTCCACATAAAACTACAAACTTCTTTCATTCAATGGCATTCATTGCACATGCTGCAATTGCCCCACTGGGGGACCAAACACAAACTGGGTGACAACTTGCAGTACATCCCTGCTATGTTTACAAGCATAACTCTGACCCTGCAATCACTTGGCCATCTCGGTGAATCACCTTGCTTATATTTCTGTCCTAGAACTGTCACTGTATCCCACCAAAGTCCAATGCCAGCTGGAGGAACTGGACATCATTTTCCACTTAGCCATTTTACACCCTTCAGGGCTCAATACTAATTGAACAACTTCAGACTGTGAACTTTGTCCTCCACTTTGATTTATACCCCCTCCTCCCCTCCACCAAACCATTATTCCCACTCTGCTTCCCCTTCAGCATCTTATTTTTATGGTTTGCTTTCAGTCAGAACACATTTTTATTCTGTCATTAATACATAATCTGGGCCTACACTTCTTTACAATCACAATCACTCCCTTTGTCTCTCGTTCTATGGCTCCTTTGATCTCCAATTTCCTTCAACCCTTCCCTGACCTGTCCTTCTGTTCCACTTGTCCCACCCCCCTTTCCAACAATATTAAAACCCAGGGCTTTTCCATCTCTCTTCAGTTCCAAAGAAGAGTCACATTCACTCCAACCAACAACATTGTTTCTTTCTCCACAATAGCTGCCAGACCTGCTGAGTTGCTCCACCATTGAAGATTTCAAGCATTCCCAGTATTTTGCTTTTAATTTCTCACATGGATAGAAATACAAAAAAAAAAGTGGGGGAAACATTGATCCTCATCTCATTGTTTGATTTCACAGTTTAAGAATAAAGAGTTTCAAGTGTTGGGTCACCTGGATGAGATAGTGGGAACACAGTTTCAACAGCTCCAGTAATTGAAGGTGACTTCCTGCTGCAAGCACATCTTGAACTACACCTGGTTCCAGTGAGATCTGAAAAATGAACAGTCACAGTATTTAAACAAGAGATTGACTGTGTCAAAAACATTATTTCTCTGCACTCCCAACAGTCCTAAATTACAACAGGTACTACTCTATTCAGTAGCACATTACCAACAAAAGGAAGCAAACTGACTATTTTTAAACCACCCTAAAGCAAAAGGAAATCCTGGATGTCCCCAAAGTCAGAAGGCCATAAGGCAAAACAAAACTAAAAATAACTAAATGTGCAAGGTCATATCTGATTAAAGAGAAAAATATTTATATAGATGGAAGAAAGACAACTCTCAGGAGAGCAGAGATAGGTATTGAACCCAGTCAAAAGCAACAAATGCTGCATCAGAGCAATCAAAGGCTCACTGGAGAGGGAGATGGTCGATAACTACAGTAGCAACAGCAAAACATTTTTTGAAACTTGGCTAGATGCCCAAGGGACATAAAGTACTCCTTAGATGTGTAGAAGGATTCTTCATAGCAGAATCAAATAAATGCCAACTTTTGCCAATTGACTCTGTCTATGTCCCTATCCAATGCGATATACCATTGGCTTCATACCCAAGTGCCAAACCAAATACTGACAAGAGTAGAGCTGCATGAACACAGCAGGCCAAGCAGCATCATAGGAGCAGGAAGGCTGACGTTTCGGGCCTAGACCTGGTCTCAAAACAGACACACTGTTGGAACGGATGGCAGAAGAACATACCAACACAAGAATACAAGAAATAAAAGGAGTAAACCCTATGATCTCTGTGTGTTCCATTATTCAATAAGATCATGGCTGATCCTGGACTTTAACTCCACTTTCCTGCCTCCCCATATCCCTTGACTATTTGCGAGACCAAAAATTTATTCCCAGTCTTAAGTCTGTATAACAAGGGAGCATCCAGTATCCTTTAGGGTAGAAAATTCCAAAAGTTCACAACCTTTTGAGTGAAGTAGTTCTCTCTATATTAAGATTATTTAGGAAACACATATAACCTAATGCTCAATAACACCCTACATGTCTGTGGAGTGAGTTAATGTTTCAAATCCAGGATAACTCTTCAAAACTCACATGTGATCACTCGACCTTAGCTAGAAGTCAGTGGCTAGAAGACAACGTTGAAGAATTTCTGTATAACCACCTGGATTGAATTAGTTAAAAATTCTTGTTATGTCTTCTTGAATGGTTCTGTCTTAATAACCTGTTTGAATCTGCTTAACAAAGTTATACATTTGGTGAATGAAGACAAATGACCAACACTTATACGCTTGGATTTTCATTAAGATTTTCATTAATAAGGTGCAACAAAATAAACTCTTAAAAGTTAGATTCTAGAAAAATCAGATGACAGATCTTGGGCTATATAAGGGATTAACTCCATTCTCATGGTCAGAAGGGTGCCACTGATGGTCCTGCTTCCATGTGGATACCAATTATTAAAAGGAAGCCAACATAAATATTCCTTTTAGCAAAATACTCTTTGCATTTGTCATTAAGAATCTACTTGGTAAAGACTTGTGCAATATTAGAACCTTGGATGAGAACAAAACAAATCGACATGCAATGGGAATATGGAGTTACTTTTGGCAAATGTTGCTTAATATTGATCAATCTACTTCTGTGCACATGCTAATAACGATCACACATATGCAACACAGTGCTCCATGTTAAAGTCTGTGTGGAAAAAATACAAAAGCCTGGATTTGGACCTTGAAGTCAGGTAACCAGGAAATTTCCTGGTTTACTGCATGCTTCAGGAGAAACTTACTCAAATGTCAGGGTCTTCAGGAGAAGGGGAGCACGTATGATATGGATTTGGATCCTCCATACCTGATACAGATTGGAGATGGCCACAAGGACTGCCGGATGCCTGGATGTGCTGTTTAAAAGGCCCACCTCAGTTCTCTAAAACTTTGTCCCAGCTGTTTGCTCATATTTTTAAGGCCCCCTATCCTTCACCCTCACATACCCAGACTTACCCCCACCAACTTATGTCACCACTCAACAACCCCTTATACCCTCTATACCAACTCATGCCTCCATTTCCATGGGCCCTTCTGCACTGGGTCAAACTCATGTCTCACCTCCCATGGTCCGTTAAACACTCCAATGTCAACTTATCCCCAACTAAAGATAACTCATGCCAATCCACCTGCCCGCATTTGCCCTTCTGCTCTTCAACATGGAAAAGCATAGGTACTTGTTTAAGTTACTCAAGAATAGGGCAAGGCAAGACATCAGAATGCTTATCATTTTGACATGGCTCATGAACATTTAGAACAAGCTGTCAGCTTCTGAGTGAGCATTGATATGCTGCAAGTATCCTGAAGGAAGCAGGAGGAATTCCTGAATATTGCCAACAACACCACAGTATTTATAAGTAGGTAGGCTACTGGTTTTATAACCTTCAACTTCACTGTGATATCATTTTGATAATGAGTGGGGGGGTGGGAAGGAGTTTTTCAAATGTTTCCCCAAAATTTTGGTTTAGTTTGATATCATCACCTCGGAGAAGCGCAAAGAAGATACAAGAGCTGCTGGGGAGGAGAGGGTTGAGGATTATGGCGTGTGGTTGCACAATATTAGCTCCTTAATTAGTCTTTTCCTGACAGTCATTTTTATAATCATTCACCTACAATGTAGGTAGTGGGTGGCAGGTACTATATTACGTAATGACACAGAAAACTCATGGAAACTCTCCTCAATTGGATGCACATCCCAGAGCATGATGGTGCCAGGCCTCTCCACAGTGAGTAGTTATAACCAGATACTATTCAAAAGAACATTTTTGACAGGAAATTAGTTTCAAAATATGATTTCACTTAATTAGCAGAGAAAACAATTTGATTTTTTTCACTTAAATGAAATCAAAGTACTATGGAAATAAAAACCCGAAAGAACTGCAGATGCTGTAAATCAGGAACAAAAGCAAAGTTCTGGAAAAGCTCAGCAGGTCTGGCAGCAACTGTGAAGGAAAGAAACAGAGTTAACGTTTCAGGTCTGGTGACCCTTCCTCGTAACCCGGAACGTTAACTCTTTTTTTCCTTCACAGATGCTGCCAGACCTGCTGAGCTTTTCCAGCAACTTTGTTTTTGTTCAAAGTACTATGAATCCTGGAGATCAGAAATAAAAACAAAATCCTCAAGAAATTCAGCAGATCTGGCAGCATGTGTGGACACAGAAACAGAGTTAATACTTTTAGTCAATATGGCTCTTCTTTGAAGTCAACAGCACAGCCTGTATCACAGCAATGAAGAACAGACTGCAATTTCACAATCCCCCATTAATCCTGAATTTTCACTCAGGTTCAGAAGAGGTAATAATGACAATGTTAACAGTTTATTATGAAGAGGTCAGCAAATTTGGGGCCAACATTTGAGTTGATTTATTATTGTCAGGTGTACTGAGTTACTGCGATAAGTGTTGTCTTACGTGCTTAGCAGGCAGATCATGCTATACAAGTGCATCAGGGTAAAAGAACAAAGTGCAGGATACAATGTTACAGCTGCCTTGCAATTCTATCTCCAACGTGCACTCCTAACTGATGGACCAACATCAGAACCTTGCAATTTCTCTATTTACAGTATTTTTAATATGTCTGATATACACATAGCCAGCAATATTTCATAGACAATAAGCCCCTTGTTTCTTTACATGTGAAATAACAACACTTGTTTTTCACATCTGACTTGCGCTACTAACCAGGAAAAGATTGATCTAGATAATTTCCTTGAAAAGTGACTTAAGTTTGAAAGTTAAGAACATCAACAATGGAAGTTTTAAAATTTTACGAAATTAAAAAGTCTAAAACAGTTAATATATCAGCATCAGATCAAGTTAAAGAAAGGTGCTGGTTATTCATTCCATCCTTACAGTAAATCTTCCAGTTGCACAATTCAAAATATTCCCTTAGCTTTGCAGCCTTCTGCCAGTAAATGGAATTAAATAGCTAAGGAACCTACATAAGGAGAACAGTGTGTGCAGTACACAAACATTACATTGCAGTTGGAGTTCTGATAACAGCCTTAGGTAAATTAAAGGATATATATAAAAATGAAGGAAAATGTATAGCAGGTTCACTAAATGTTGGCAAAGAACATAGTTATTTAGATTCTGAGTGGTTATGGCACATTAACTGTTGTCAAAGTATGTAGGAACCTGAAAGAACCCCTCATACAGAGTTATGAGGAGTTACAGGTACATTATCATAGATTCCCTCTATTGATTAGCAGTATAACAATAGGAGGGCACAGATTAATTATTGCAAATCCTCACATTACCCGATTATCACAAAAGAATTGGGAGCATAGAAATAGACCATTCAGCCCTTCAAGGCTATTCTACCACTCAATAGGATCATGGCTGCTCATCCAACTGACTACCCTTTCCCTCTTTCTCCCCAGATCCTTTGATCTTTTCAGTCCTAAGAAATACATCTATCTCCTTCTTGAAAACATTCAATGTTTTGGCCTCCGTCAGCTTGTGTGGCAGAGAATTCGACAGGCGTACCACTTTCTGGGTGAAGAAATCTCTTTTCAGCTCAGTCCTAAATTGCCAACGTCATATCCTTAGACAATGAACCCTGTTTCTGGGAAATCAGAAGTGACTTCTTAACACAGAAAACAGTACAGTGCGAATTTCTTTGTCTCAAATCTATTGTTGGAGTGAAGTCAAGGAACATGTTTCACAACCCAATTCATTCAAAATCAGGAACATAAAGAATTTTTGCAGCAAGGTGGTGATTGGGATTTGGTGAGAAAGGTTCCAAGAAGAAAATAAAGTGTAAATTTTACTAGTTGAATGGCATGTAATTTTGCAGAATTGACTGCTGCCAAAATTCCAAGAAGCCATTCCCACTTTGCACTCTTCACTTTGAATTCTTCATTTCTTTCATCACATTTGTGAATCTTCCCAAGTATTCAGGCCCACAGCTGCCTTCAGATTGCACTTCAGCACCATCTGGTGGCACGAATTAATATAACGTTATCAAAGCAAAAAAACAATTCCAGAG